GAGATATCACGTAATTCGTGCTTAATTTTTGAAAGTGGTGTAAGTCCATTTTTCTGAAGTTCAGTGGTGTAAGTTCATTTTTGAGAAAAATGGACTTTCTAAAGTTCAGTGGTGTAAGTTCATTTTTGAGAAAAATGGACTTACACCACTTTCAAAAATTAAGCACGAATTACGTGATATCTCATTTTTCTCAAAAATGGACTTACACCACTTTCAAAATAAACGGTCCAAATAATGATGACTCGAGTCTGGTTTCGGATACTCACTGATAGCCTGCGTACCGTAAACGCTGGGGTACGGTAGCCGCAGAGTCTGGTCGCTGATGTACCGATTCCGTGGGAAGTAATACTGCCTCGCCTGGTTGTCGACGGAGTTCCTAGGTATCCAAAAAGAGTCGGTGAACTCCTCGTACTTCTCCAACGGCTGGCCGACGAGGTTCCTCATTAACTTAAGCCTGCTCGGGTCGCCCTCACCGTTTCTTCCAAAACAGAAAAATCAAATAAGAACCCTCGGTGAGTATATTTTCGACGAATTTATTAAATCATCATCATCATGATCGTACAATATAAAAAGCGTTAGTATACAATGTTATAAAAGAAATCTACTTTCAGTCTCGATTTTGTTAGAATACGTATTCGATCAGGTCCAGGGACGTGGAACGTACGCGGAGATCGTTGTTCCAGATCAGACAACACAGAAACAGGCATCCGAGCGTGATCATGCAAGTGATCAGGATTCGCGTTAAATGATCTCGAAGCGTTCGGTACCTGGACGATAAGCTCGCACTTTGACCCGCGGCGTACCGCGTCACGCTGAAGTAATGCTGTTTCGCTGACGCTTTTCGCTCGTTCTTAAGGTTCGTCTGCGGCTGCTGGTGCGACCAGCTTATAGGCGGCTCGTTCCACGCCGGCAGCATCCAGTTCCCGTTGCTCTGTCGCGGATTCTCTGGCAAATAATTGGCATTCCAATTGGCACGGTTCTCTTTGTACAGTCGTTCATGCGCTAGCTTAGCGCTCACGTTCTCGGGAACGATCTTGCTTCTGACAATTCAACGATTACGATTATAAGAGCTTGTCGCAGCGAGACGAGAATTCCATTAAGTATGTTTTGTATGTCTGTATTTGTTTTTTTTTTATTTTTGTTTTAGGAAATTCTTGCAACGCACCCCAAAAGCTCGGCAAAATCGTCCTCGTCCAACTTTTGGGGATTGTAACTATTATGGTTCAGCAAGGGGA